TTTAAACTTAATAAATAAATAAAGATGGTTAGATGTCAGACTTAAATGGTTTGGTCTGTTACGAGGAGAGAAGAATCGGAAGCTGTAAGGATAGTTATAGAAATGAATGTAGAAGGAATTCTACTGTATATTGTTTAAATTATTTATTTTTACTACACAAAATATATTAAGAAATTTTATAATATGTATACAGGGTGGCCCACCACTCACTGACAACTTAAATAACTTTTGATCCAGTTAATATTTTTAGCTGATTTTTTTTTTAAATAATAGTTATACGTTAGGTCTATAGCTATATCTCAATAATTAATTTTTTTACATTTTATTAAAAATATTAATTATTTTTAAATTTTAAATAAAATGTAAAAAAAAAATCTAAGATAGCTATTTTGTAGAGTAGAATTTAAGAAAAATTTTAGTAAAAAAATATCTTATTAATATTGAGTAGTAAATATTCTGTAGTGTTTTGAAGTTTGTGAAAATTTGACGTTTTGGACTCGTTACAAAGTTACAGCTCATAAATGACAACGGGATACATTCATAAACATTTCAAGCAATCAGTTTTTTGTTGTAGAAAATAATTTTCCATAATAACATTTCATTAATTATTAAAGAAAAGTTCTATTAAATAAATATAACTTGCATAATGCTTAATATGATTAAACAAAGTAATTTTTTTATTTTCTGACTTTAAGTTTTAAGTTTTAAAATTTTAAGCTGTTTTATTGAGAAGTGTAAAAAAAATTGTCTGTTATTGTGCAACTAGTATAATGTGTAGTGTCATTAACCGTTATCTTTTTTTTTAAATCATTTGGTTGGTTAATACCAATTAGATTGGTATATCCTGAGAAATTTATAAATTCAGCGGTTTTCCGTTGCCTTTTGCATTGAAACATGGTATTTTTTCGCCATAGTAAAATCATCCATATTATGGTCACCCATCCGTTCACCGAGAGCGGTAGGTGCGACTTAACACTAGAGTTTTGTCAACAAGTATTGTTCCCATCTTATCACTCCATAAATACCAGTAAATCTTTGTGTTAAACAAATTTCATGAAAATGTTCTATGCATTAAACGTCAACAAAATTTAAACAGACAAAAAAATATACTCTATGATACAAAAAACACAAATTTTATTGTAAGATATTCTACAAATTATTTTAAATTCAAACGTGGCTCATGTTCATGTTTCAAACATTATTATATTTAATGCACAAATATTCTATTACATCATTTACTCAATTCACCTTTTCTTAGAAATTCTCATAAGTATTCAAAAACTTTTTTAATATATTTTTTGACTTACATTAAAGGTGGTAAAACCTTGTTGACCGGATAAATGAAATGATAGTCGACATATTCATGTGCTTTGATTTCAAACTCAAGGAAATAAATGTAACTAGATGCGTAAATATTCCGAAGTGGTTGCGCTTGACACTTTATATTAAGTGCTTAACTATGTTATGTTTTCCTAAAATCTTGCTTTCTAAGATTTAATGAACTTTTTTTAGTAATTACGAGCAAATAACATTACGAGTTTATTTGAAAGTGTAAAAAATTCTAATAAAAAAAAATCACATTATACCGGATATCATTAGAAAATTGTGAAACATTCTTTTCCAACTTGAAAATATTAAAATACTTTAATTGTTTCAATGGAAAAATTAAATCAAATAATGTTTACTCATTTAATGAAACTTTAATATTTAATACTATAAACATAAGAAAATAAACATTTTTGCTAACAAATAGTTTATTATGTTAGTTAAATAGGCTATATTTAAAATGGTTAGAAAATAGGTTTAGTCAAAATTTGAATCATGTTAATTTGAAATTCTGACACTTAAAGTTATAGAAATTCCATAAACAGTAAATATTGTTATAAAATATAATAATCCTAAGCCTTCTACGAACCAATACCATTAAATATAAATAAAGCTGGCAAAATTAAGACCATCAGATTTCATATTAAGCACAATCATTTCATGTGATGTTAGAAGTGATAAACTGCACAATAAAATAAATATAAATTTTCAACGAATGATACTTTTAAAGATTTTTTATGTAATATCTTTATCTAAAGCATTTACATTTTTCATGAATTAAAAGTAAAATACATTCTACTTTTTATTAGTGAGAAATATAATGACTAGAATTTAAAATCAAATGATATACTTAATTGATTTAAAATTTTGGTCAACTGACTGAGTTCAAAGAGGAGTAAAGAGTAATTCTATTTCCTAGCAGAAAAATTTAGTTAAATTTTATAAAACAGTTATAAATTTGTTATTCTACAATGTGTTGTAATAGGCCCTTCACACAACCGAACAAAATGTTTATCTGTTATTCTTTCATCTTCTACCCACACACCAATAAATTACAAAACACAATCAACACTTTCTATCACTGACTGCAGATACACACACAACTCACACAATCACGCCATGCACACACATCCGTTCCTTCCCAACATGTACAACCCCGTAGTTTTACAAAATCCTTCTACAATGTCAGCAAAATAGCAACAAAAGAATCTAAATAAATGTAAGGCCGATGGTCATGTACATGTCTGGAAGGGGACTTTGGAAGGACTCCAAAGGACTCCATGGGCTCGTCTGACATGGACTGTTCCGATCCAACCGATTTACGATCACGTCGTCCGGCTCTCTTTCGCCTTTTAAACCAATTTTGTATTTTTTTTAGTTTTGTTTGTTTTTCCTTTAATATTATTGTATTATGTGTTTTTTAATAATAAAATAATCGAAGATACTTTTTTATACAAATTGGTTATTATAATTCATACTTTCTTTATTGTTCCACGAGTGAATTATTGTATCAATAAGGATTATATGATTAAGGTAAGAACATCCTAATTTATTGTGCATGTATTTAAAATAGCAAGTGACCCTCGAACAACACACCTCGAGAAAAGGGATAGTTCTTATTTTGCGATACTCCTATAACATTTTCCTTCCATCATTATCTTATCCCTTTCTTATTTTTGTTTTACAACAAATGATTATTGACAATATCAAATAAAATTTTAAATAATGAAATTTATCAGTTAAGTAGTATTCAAAATTTTACTCTAAAAAAATTCCCATAAACAACGAAACAAACTATTAGCATCATTTGGTATATATTAAATTATAATGTAATTTAATTTACATTAAACTAAAAACAATAACATAAATATTGAATATTATTTAAAACTCTGATTTCATTGGTATTTATATTTGGAATTCAAAAACTTATAACACTTAGGTTTACATAAATAAACTTTATAAAATAATAACGCAAAACAAATATAAGTATGTGTTTACCCACAAAATATATTTTTAATCGAATTTTGTTTGTACAAGTACATACACAAGAATAAACAAAGATCTGAAATCGACATTTATAAAGAAATTTTTTGAAAAAGAAATCAAATTTATGGGTTTTTCAGTATTAGGTCTATTATTTATCCTAAAAAATACAAATAATTACGCCAAACACGAAGTTTATGACTCCTTTACACAATTCTCTTAGTCATTTTTGTTTTTCAATAAAACAATAAGAACTTATTATTTCGTATAAATGAATAAATTATTTTTTTTAAATTAATAAGTAACGTTATAAATTTTTTTTTTTCAAAAACATTTGTGTGTTTTAAGTTTTTAGTTATTACATAAATGAGAAGTAGCGTATGTTAGAAATTATAAACAAAATATTTGTGTCAGACGTTAGTACACAAAAAAATATAAACATTACTATTTTTTAAAGAAAAATGTTCTTGATTCTAATGTTAAACAAATTTTTGTTAAGTCTTTCATAAAATATAAAATAACTGGTGTCATATAAATATATTTAAATTCATAAAGTCTAATACTAACACTTTATTTATGTGCTTCACAAGTGATAATAAATGCAGTAGCAGATTTGTATGCATGTTTCTAGGCGTGGAGGGTCTAAAAGATAATATTGTTATAAATAATGAGAACAATAGAAACCCTTTTTCTCACTTATTGAACACCCTTTTTAATGAAGTACAAAAATAAATATCAAGGTCTACCTTTACATACAGGGTGTTCAGTAAGTCAGGAAACGGGTTTCTATTGTTCTCATTGTTACAAACAATGAGAACAATAGAAACCAGTTTCCTGACTTACTGAACACCCTGTATAATAGTGTATACTATTCACAGATCATAAATCTAGTAATAACGGCGTTATATATAGGCAATTTAGGTACCCATATGTGGTTTTCTAATAATTTACCGTAGTGTATAATTATTATAATAGACATATCTTTCGAAAGCATATTTGAATGCGTTATAATAATAATTACTTCGCATTTAACATTTGCAAAGTTCTTCTCAGCTAAATGATTATATTTTATTGCTTGCTATTTTATGCGTAAATGTAAATGAGTTATTAGCAGTTTTAAATAGACAACAATAATAATGAGAGAAACCAACAATGATTACATAATACAGACTATATTTATCTAACTTTTAATATTTGATCCATTAACCTCTTTAGTAAGTTTCAGTGCGTATAATTACTTAAGTAACTGTATACAATACATTAGCGATCACGCATGGTTTAAATAGTGCCATCAATCACAATAGTTACTTTAATGTAAGCATAAACTGTTACTTAAAAAGTTTTCTCAAAAGATGATTTTTATTAATATCAAACTTATAAAATATTTCTTACATAGTGTTTAGTATATCTTTATATCAACCTATTTTATTTTAATATCACGCGAAATTAACAAATGAACTAGTATAGTTAACAATAAACTTTAGGATTTACCAGTAAAGACATTTCTATCCTTAAATTAAATATTTTTGTGTATAAGTACACTAGATTATCATTGTACTTTATAACTGATAACACTTTTGTGTTTCCAATTTAATAATAAAAATTACTATCTTTATCTTTAACGTTTCTGAAATTAATTGTTAAATAAGTAATTCTGTATTTGGTATAAAGTATTAGAAGTACTAACTTACATTTATTATTTTTTAATGATTAATATTGTCATCGCCTCAATTTACACTCTGGAAACTAGACACCGGCTTTCTTTTCAAACCAAAACCTTAATAAAAACAATAAATTAGTCCATACAATAGAAAACTCCTGTAATTTTATTTTGATTATATACTATGCTTAGCTATTTAGTATAGTTATATAATATACTTATTTAGTAATCAATGGAAAAATGGAGAGTATTATAAAAAACAAATACTAATATATAATAAATAATTAAATAGGTAAATTTTATCAAAATTGATGATATCCATGGAATTTATATTAACTCAAATTTAAATTTAAATTATAACAGTAACAATAATATTAACAAATTATTATTAATTAATAAAATTAAATAAAAACAAATGAAAGCTCAAAACATCAATTTATCAACTCTAAACTCTAGAAAATTAGTCAACCAAAATCTAATTTAACTTAAAACTTTACTTAAATTATGTTCTTAATTTATTTTTTGTACGTATAAAAATATAAACAAAACACATTACTTTTTAATTTACCATCAAGGGTTTTTTTTATCTTTTAAAATATTGAAATTTAATGTTATTGAATACCTGAAATTTAAAACTAAATCAGTAAATGTTGCAGAAATAATTTTGTATATTTATTTGCGTATTTAAACATATTATTTATGTTATATATACATAATAGATTTCTAAAATTTTCAACATTAATTTAAAAGTTATAAAACACATTATATTATAATATATAAGCGACTATGTAAAATTGTGAGACCGTATAAATTTTGATGTTTTGCTGTTATAAGAATGATAGTATCATATTTCAATTTAATAATGTCAAGTAATGTCTTTAAATTATTCCTTAACTAACATTTTAATTGATATCGGTAGAATTTTGTTGATTTCGACAATTATTAAATTAAACATCTATTACTCTCCATTTTTCGCTCCTTATTTCATATTGCGAAAATATTTATCTTCTATCAAACATTAATCGTTCCTAAATATCACACAAGTAAAATAATAATAAGTCGATATAAGTAAAACTAAAACTATAAATTTTGGATTCTGTTAACCAATTAATGAAAATAACGTTCTATAAAAGTACATATTAATAATTCACATCACTTTTATATTCTCTTATGGCACATATCAGTACGCTTTTTTTAAGTTGATACTTTAAAAATACCTCATCCATTTTCTTGTTTTATATACATTTCTCAAAGAAATAATCCCAAGCTCAAAATTTAAACTACAATGGAATTATTTTCATAAATCAATTCGTTGATTAAGTCTTTAAACCATAAATAAATTATATTAATCATTCAATTCCTTTTTTGTATATTTATAATTAACTTTAACTTTTTTAATTGGTAATCAACATTTAGTCATAATTTCAAAGAAAGATAATACTATAATTAATGGTATAAAAATACACAGAGCCGTAGTAAGGTTTATCAGCGCTCCTGGCTATTTATTACATTTTTCGTTATATATAAATAAAGGTACATTTTATTTTGAATTTAGTGCCTCTTTGTTTGTTTCACCCCTGTCCTGGGACAGTTTTGCCAAGGCCAAGCTGCGGCTTTGAAAATATATGAAACAAAAAAATAATAATAACTAAGTTGATGATTTTTTTTTCTGTTTCTACTTCATTTTGAATTAAATAAAATTATACTTATAATATATTCATAAGTTTGTATTCAGTGTTAACCGATATATTTTGCATATAAATATGAAAATAAAAAGCTTTTGATAAATCTAAACTTTAAATAGTTACCTCGTATGATCACATGAATTTATTACAAAAATAAAAAAAGGTAATTATAAATGAAATATTGCTCAGTAAAATTCTTCAATACTGAAAGGTTAGTCGACATTCTTGTATCAAGTTATTACTGACAATTACGTTTACATTCAAAACATAACTTAACGATTGGCTTATTTTTGATTCGGGTTTTATAAATAGTTACGAACTAGTTGGTAGTCTATGATTTTGACACTAAAAAGATTTAGTAACTTTTATAAAATATTGGTGTTGTAAGATATTAGGCGCTACTGTAATATAACACTAATGTAATAACTCTTAATAAAATTAAAAACAAAGCATTTCTGAAGTGGAGTTTAAAGTAAAACTTAATGTGCTATAAAGATAGTGATATTTTTAAACGAAAATTACAACATGAAATTGTTTTGACTGTTTTCTACAGTCTATCTTTACATAATTCTTAGAATAACTATCACGAAATAAGAGAATTATGTATTTTTATTTTCAAAAAATAGTTTTTTTTTATTATACAATTTTTCTAAATTTGAGTAATAATTGTATTAGCCAGCACATAATTATTTAATAATATTTTACATGTATAATCATTATTGTAATTGAATCACTTATTGAAATAAGTGAAGCCCAAATCCACAATTCGTTTTTTTTTTTTTTAAGAAAAAAAATTATGGATTCTACTATTTATGTTATTTCTATACTTATTAGTACTTTTACTTATTGTAACTAATGTATAGATTGTAAATATTAAAAAATAATAATTATATAGTGTTGAAATTCAAAACTAACCAACCAGTCCCAACCAGTCCTAATCAAAATTTAAAAAATAACATTTTTGCTAAGATAAAATTATACTAAAATTTGTTATAAAGAAAAATATAACACATTTAACCAAAACAATTTATTTTATATATGAAATCATAATACTTAATAACAATTATCATGATACTTGATTGATAAAAACTACTTTTTCTCAAACATAGTGTTAAACATTTTATCTAAGTCTTTGAAATAAGTTATGATAGCTATAGCTAATTTTTTATGGATTTAAGGCGAACATTTTACACATAATTTTAAATTAAAAAAAAGTAATAATGATAAAAAGTTATGCATTTTTCAAAATATCCAAATTTATTTTTTATTCCAATAATTGATGCTATTATATTTATTGTTATTATTACATAGTACTATTATTAACTTAAATTTTGATAATTATACAATTTATTTTTTTCATAAATTTAATTAAATAATTTTACAATAAATATGTGTATTAAATTAAAATGCCAACTGCAGAAAAATCAAATTATAATAATCAAGAAAATAGTTTTCACATAACAACTCTTATTTAACGTAAGTGGAATGGTCACATTAATCAAATAGATTATGGTTAATGCTTGTAAAATTTTAAAGTAGTAAGCTGTCAAGTTGACGACTAGTACGTTTTAGTAAAGGTTCAAAGAAAACTAACGTTCTGTAAAAACATAACAGAAAAACAAAGACTCTTATAATTTCAGTTTTAATTTGTTATTATTTTTTTGATGATACAAATTAACTGATAATTCATCTTTTGAAACATTAAGATGGCATATTCAATATATATATATATACATATATATACTATTAAAAAATTCAAATATCTAGAAGACTAGGCATAAAAACTATTTTCAAATATTATCACGTTGAGTTAATTTTATTATAGAAATATCGGTTGCACATTTACAAAAATTCAACTCAATGAATACTTGTCAATTCACTAGGAAAAAAATAAGCCAACTCTATAAAATCATTTCATATCACCAATGAGATTAAAATAGTTGTGTTGATTTATGCGTACAGTTGTCATTTTGAATCATGCGAATTGACAACAAATAAAAATGATTGATCTCTAGGTAATTTTTTTCCCTATACTATATATTATAAATTACATTTCCATAATTTAGTTATAATTCATCATAACAACTCAAACACTAGATGCTAATACTGAAACTCTAAATATTTTACTAACTAAAAAACGTATTATTTATATCTAAATTAATCAAGTTTTTGTAACAATGAAAATTAAATGTATAGCGAATATTGTTTTATATCTATTGTGGTTAGGTGAAATATTTCTAAATAACTAGGAAATGTCAACAACAGACAATACTGGTGATGATTGTCGACTGTCACCAAGATGACAGGCCCGGCTGGAATTATTTTAGATTTTGTTTTAGACTAAACATCAATTATCTTTCGTTTAATTTTAATTAAAATATTGTCACAAGTAGTTTTAAAAAAATAAAATTTATAACTTAATAGAAAAAGTTTAAAGATTCTAAATAACTTCCAACAAATGGTCTTTTTTGATAAAGAAATTTTATACAGAAACAATTATTCAACATTATAAAAATTATGACAATCTTTAAATTAATGTTCAATTGATGTTAATAAATAAAGTTAAAACAGCAAATAGAGAATTTAGTTTATTATATTAATATCGACTGTGTTTGAAGTACGTATTTTACGGTAAACTAATGATACAATCAGTTTATATTACTGTTCAAAAGTTAAATTTTTTTGTACAATTATTTTAATTAATGGCGAATAAAACTAAATAAAATAGAAATAATAACTGATTTATAAAGTAGTGATAGTATATAAATATACTATATTTTTAATTTTAGGAAAAAAATTTGGAATACATAAATAAGTTTTTCATACATAAAACATATTGTTATTTAGTCGTCACAGACTAGTTACTAATTTAAAAAAACCTTAAACGAGAGTTTTCATTCAAAAATAAAATAAATTTATGATTTAAATAAAGAATTGAAAAATTTTTTTTTTTTTCATTTTTTATTTATTCATATTTTTTAAATAAGTTTTTCTTCTCAGGTTTTATTTCTCAAAAATATTGAATTTATCTTTATAGCAAAAGGTTAATGATTATGTTAAATATTTAAACTTATCATAATAGCATTAAAATGTCCATTATTAATTATCGTCATAATGCTATTTAATTATGTTATGCTTAATTTTGAATGCAAAACATAACTCTATAATTTATAGAACTACAAACATAAACATTTTTACAGTTATAAAAGAACAAGATATCGCTTGTATGATATTTCCTTAATAAATAATCAAGAATGTTATGATGTCCAAATATACAGCAGACGACACATTTACCCGAAATCACACCTTATTTTATATTTTCTTACAAAATTTTAAAAGAATGGTCAACTTCTTGGCAGACAGTAGACAAGAGTGGGCCTGGCCCCCCTTAGATTTAATGTGGCCCATGGCCGGCCCCCCCAAATTTAAAAT